AGAAGCTGACAATAACATAAATATTGTAGGTGATTTAGCCTTTCTTTTTTCCCTTCTTGAGCAATATGACAAAATGTATTTCAACAGGCTTACTGACTTTTTGTCTCGTGGCCGCAAATGCATTGCTAATGACGCATCCACAAGTGCACAAGGGAAGAAGGGAAGAAGCCAGGAAGATGAAGAATCAGATGAAAGGATAGAACTAATGAGTGACTATTAACTCATCGCAATCATTTTGAACAATGTGTCATCTTGTACATGTATGACAGTGCTGTTGCAGCACGTACAACAGTTCACTTTTTTGGATGCACAGCATTCTGGCAGTGTTTAAGCAGTGCTAATGGGTGACTCTTGAGTAGCCACAACAAAATAGCATACACTGCACTACTGTTGCAAAACTGTGCAGTGAAAAAGCAATGACCATGCAGTGCTTATGCATGTGCTGCCTTTTAGCTGTATTTATCAGAATGTTTTTGAAAGTAGAATAATATTGAAGTTTTAGATAGCAAGTATATAAATTGTCAATTGAAACTTTCAACTGCTGAAGATTTCAGGAATTCAACTGACAATACAAACAGCAAGAAGTACAAGACATGACGTTAATAAAGATGTTTTAGTATCTTTATTCATTGTGGAATGTTTGAATATTTTTTAAGTTTCACATCCTTTTTGCACATGATGCTGTGATGGGAGGTGGAAAATGTTGATTTGCATGATTAGACCATGAAAGGAGATCGAGTTTATCTACATAATATTTTACTGTTTATTAAATTGAGGAGAAAAACATGACCTCTACATATTGCACATCATTGTTGAGTGCATTAAAATGCTTGGTTTTTCATGAATCCTCAACAGTGAAAAATCCAGAACATCACAAAGGGGAGTGGCTAACCCAATAAAAATGTTAAATGGATAGATTTAGTGCTGTGGAAATAAAAAAAAATTATCAGGTGAATGCTGCTTTAGTTTTTTTTTCTGAATGAATCCCATTCAGTTTTTGTGGCTAGTGCCTCGGAACGAGGCTCAAGCCACTATGCTATCACCTTGTAAGTGCGTGTGAATGAATGTAATTCGGGATAACTCCGCTTTTACTCGTAAATCTGCCATTATAAGTTGGGCTTCCTGTGTAATTACGTCATAAACAATGTGATGATGTCGATGATGTCACAACTAATGGTGCCTACCCCTCCCATCACAATTATCTACAACTTACCTAAACCACCCCTCCCTCACAACTCTCTTGTCCGTGTGCACCCGCTTCGCTGTCCCGATACTCATTCGGGCGCGCATCCAATATATACAACAAAATTAACGACTTTTCATCCATGTGGGATGTTATGGAAAATCACTTTTCTTTCTATTAAAGGAAGCCTACTGAGTCTACACATTTCAAAATACAATATTATAATATTCACTTGATCTATAATTATAAATTGTCTTAATTAATGACATAAATTTTGAGTTTTTATTATAAGACACCCAAAGATCGAATAAATGGAATATGAATAATGACAGCTTACTAATTACATATTAATATAGGATCTTAATGTATTTTTGTACTTTTATTGACTCCCATCATTATTATTGCTGATAAAACAAAATTCAAAGTATTTTCGAGTGCAATAGACCTCTGCAGCTTTTACGTCATGTACCGTATACGCAATGCATTGCAGGACATGTTTGGGACAAAACATGGCGGTGCATTGAAAATCAAGTAGTGACGTAAAAGGTTCAGAAGGCTATTAAGTATCAAGGATATTTATGAAAAATCATCAACGTGGAGTTCTACCTAACCAAAAATTTATACGATAACTGAAAAATTATTGCAACAAAGATTATTTAAAAGACATCTCAATCACATAACCGTTTATAAGTAGAGAATGCCCCCGAAAGAAACATAAGAATTCAAAGACTCACTGGATGAAACGACTTATGGCAAATCGAATTCGTTATTGTTTGACGCAGATGAAACTTTATCCAACGGCGGCTCTTTTTTCGTTGACCGTGATCGACGATCATCGACTGCTGGCCAAGGCTATAAGTCGTTCTCTTGCTGGTTTTGTTGACTTCAGGTGCATGTTATTTCTCAGTTCGTTTCAGCATCCATTGCAGGTTTTCATGTTAGGTCATAGGCTACCCAACTATAGCTTGAGAGAAAGAAAAGAATATGAATGCGCACGCTTTTATATTATGTTATCGAATCGGCGTGCGCTGTGGGTTACCTGTGGTATATTACGTCACGATCGCGCGCCTCGCGGGATACAAACTAGTAATAGCGAGAAAATAAGGACTTGTAAACTATACATCATCAATTTAATCTCATTTTGCGGTGGACATGGAGCCCGCCACTAACTAGTAAGAACGGCTGCGAGGAGACGAGGAGACAGACTAGTGCTGACATTGCGTGACTGAAAAGGAGCGGCAACTTCAGACCGCGAGACCGTTACAGAGCACAGCTTGTCTCAACCTAACCGATCTTCCATTAATTTTTCCGAGAAGCGTTTGTTGAAAGTGGGAAAGGTAGTTCATTTATCATTTGTTATACTGACTTCAAGCAGCTCGTAAGCATTGATAGCATTCTGTATAATGCTTTTAAGATTTTACAGGTTTTCTAAAACGAAGTCCTGCGACTATATCGACCTGAACACGAGTGCTTATCAATGGTCATCAATGCAATAGCTTCTGTATAATAAGTTATCTTACTTAAGCTTACATTCCTCCAGTCAATCTCTAAAAGGGTGTCCCAAGGAAGGAAGGACCAGGAAGTCATAGTCCCATAAAACTCTTTTTGGACTTCAACTGATTGACATTCAATGTGAAACTTTCCCTAAAATTCAAAATGAAAAAGACGTTGACAGCCTTAGTGTCCTAATCAAGCAATATTGTGAGTGATTATTTTTTGCCCACATTGCAGAATAGAACATGATGATTGGAATGGAAACACCAAAGCCTGATGCCGGGATGAAACTTTTGACACCGTGGTGGGATTTGTTGAAAAGATATCTAACAGCTGGTATCATGACCATTGCATTATCAACTGTGGCACTACAGGCTGCTAAAGATAACTTGGTGTGTATACCTGCTGTGAAGTGCAAGGGTGCAACAGCCATCACACAAGACATGCGCTTCACAAATACATGCAAGGAAGTATTAAAAAAACTTGAAAATGATTCTTGGAAGGAAGTGATGACAACAATGGTTGACCGAAGACAGTATGATTTTGTTGACTCTTTGTGCTATCAAAACTCTCTTGAGTTTTATCCCACCTATTTCCCATTCATCCTTGTTGGCATGGCAGTATTACTATTGGCGATTAACAATATCTGGGTTATGTATCCAAAGACATCATCCACCTTGAACCACTTTGTATCACTGACCATGGAGTGCTACAACTCTGTTGGAACAAACTCAGACATATCCCGTATTCTTGATGGTCCAACTAACAATGCAGCTAACAATGGTGCAGCTAACAATGTTGCAGCTAACAATGGTGCAGCTAACAATGGGACTGCACTTGATTCATCTGAAGTCATGAAAGTAAAAACACTTTATGCTAAAGTGGAACAGTTCAAAGACCACTTTGATAAAAAAAATCTGTTGATCCGTGTTTATATAATTCAAGCAGCACTTGAGATAATATTTTCACTTGTTTATTTATTTCTTATTTTTTATTTTTTTGCAGAGTTGGAAAAATCATTTGAGTGTCGATTGGATAATGTGTTTAACACACCCTATCAATACTTTGTGTGCGCTAGGTTTATTGCTCCATATTATCAAGCAGCTACTGTGATATTTGGTGTGGCTGTTGCTTTGTTTTTTATGTTGTCATTGTGTACTCTTTGTTGGGCTTTACATGTAAGGGTGTGCAGGTACAGCAAAAATCTTCATTCAGAATCAGAAACTGACAATAACATAAATATTGTAGGTGATTTAGCCTTTCTTTTTTCCCTTCTTGAGAAATATGACAAACTGTATTTCAACAGGCTTACTGACTTTTTGTCTCGTGGCCGCAAACCATCTCATGCCAACAAAAGTGACTCATCCTCAAGTGCCTGTTGCATACGCAAAATGCTTTGTTGGAAGAAGGGAAGAAGGGAAGATGAGGAATCACGTCAAAATATGATAGAAATGAGTTAAGGAATAAAAGACGAAATTCCGTATTTGATTCTCTGATCAAAACACGCGGGATGTAGGGAGAGCACAAGAGAAGCGTAGGAAACCATGACCACGACGCGTAGCAGAGTGGTTTGCAGCTTTTTGAGTGCTCTCCCTACATCCCAAGTGTTTTGATCAGAGTATCAAACACGGAATTTCGTCTTTTATTTCTTTTCTAAAATTAAAAGAATACGAAAATTGTAAAGAATTCTGACTTTTGATACTATATGAAACGATGAATTCTCCTTACATTGCAGTTGTATGCAGCTTCTGTAGCTTCTAAAATGTTTGATGGCTCTTCTTCTGGGATATCATCCCAGAGGACATCATAATTAGGCATTTCTTCGTTCATTGTTCTTGAAAATGAATGATAACAACAACAAATGCAAACGGCGGAAAAAAAGAAATTTTTGACGCGCGAGCGTGTTTTGATACTGTAATCAAACATGGTTTTCGACCAATCACAGCGYGCGTAGTATCCTAAATATTTTAGAATGATAGATAAATAACTCATTGTAACCATTTTGAACAATCACCATTTGATCATGTGCCATGGAATGTTTTTGAAAGTGGAATAATAGTAGAAGTTGAAGTAAATATAAAATCAAGATTTCAAATGGAATTTTAAAAAACTTTTTGATTACTGTCGATGAATTTGAGTCATTACAAAGAGCAAGAAGTACAAAACATGAAGAAAATATACTWAGAATATGTTTTAGTATCTTTATTCATTTTGGAAAGTTTGAATATTTTTTTAAAGTTTCACATGGTTTTTGCACGTGATGCTGTGATGGGAGGTAGAAAATGTTGATTTGATTAGATCATCAAAGGAGAGTTTATCTACATTAGTATTCACTGTTTATTAAATTGAGGAGAAAAACATGACCTCTACATACTGCACATCATTGTTGAGTGCATTAAAATGCTTGGTATTTCATGAATCCTCAACAGTGGCAGATCCAGAACATCACAAAGGGGGTGGCTAACCCAATAACAATGTTAAATGGATAGATTTAGTGCAGCTGTGGAAATAAAAAAAATTATCACTGAGGTGAATGCTGCTTTAGTTTTTTTTCTGAATTAATCCCATTCAGTTTTTTATTTGTTTTATTTTTTATATTGTAATTCCTATCTCTCTATGTTTGGGGGTTGGCTAGCCATACTAATCGCTCCCCAGATACAAGGCCTTGCACAATCTTGTACCCAGAGCATGCACYATTGCTSTCCAGTGGAAGGCAATGTGATTGAWGTATGAGGCATTGTTTCCAAGTTTGGTTCAGCAGCAATGCTCTTGCCTCTATTTTTCAGACAAAAAAATATACTTTCAGTTTTATTTTTTCTAAAGACTTTTCCTTTTCTTCATGTTCACTCTCTAAACGGGAAAAACAAAATTTTCTTCTTTTTCATAATTGGAGAGAAAAAAGTTTTGCAATGAATTTTAGTTGAGTCCCCTCCTCCCTGATTCTTATTCAATGGTACGCGCAACGCTGCGGGGGGTATCTTATACTGCGTGACTAAAAAGGAGCGGCTGCAAAGGATGTCTTTTCTTTTCTGACAGAGCACAAACTTGTTGACTACGACAAAGTTATATGCGTTTAATACTCCAAGTAAGAAAAGTTTGTCTCAAAATAAGAATAGACTGATTTGAACTCTAAAGGAGAAAAGGGAGTTCACGGACTAATTTTAATTATTCTGGGTGCAGAAACAGCTGGCTCTGTCGTTGAATCCGTAAGGTTGGTGAATTCAATGATTTTAGGTCTTTAATCGTTACGATTTCACAACAATTTCTTCGGTTAAGTTCAGATTTTTCTTAAGGATTCATTGCCAACGAAATGACAGGAGATTGAACGTTACCGTCAATTATTTGGGGTAATCGCAGAATTCGAAAACAAACATTCATTAAAGCTGTTATTAAAAGCTTCGAGGGAGCGATATTGAAGCTTCAGTCTGAAATTCCCAAAGAAAATATACGAATTTATCATATAATTATCTGTGAAATACCTATATTTCTCTCTTTTGAAAAGTTGTTATTTTCACTAGTGAATTAAATAACATGTTGTTTGTCATACAGTGAAAATGCTGTACAGTTCGCGGGGGGGGGGGGGGGGGGGGGGGGGGGGGGGGGAGATAAGCTAATTTAAAAGTAAATTTAAAGGGAATTTAAAAGTACATTTTAGTCAGATTCCTTTGACATCTGAGGCAAACAAAAAATTCCTTTCTATATTCACTTTGCAGGACAGCTCAAGATGATTGTGACAGGTCAAACACCACTGCCTGATGCAGGAATGAAGATTTTGACACCATGGTGGGACATGCTTACAAGATACCTTACAGGGGGTATCATGACCATTGGGTTATCAACCGTAGCATTGCAGGCTGCTAAAGATCAGTTGGTGTGTATCCCCGCTGTTGCCTGCAAAGGTGCCGAAGCTGTTCCACCATCATCCATCACAGATGACTTACGTTCCACATGCAAGGCCGTATTAGAAAGACTTTCAAATGATTCTACAWYACCAGTGATGACAACAATGGTTGACCGAAGACAGTATGATTTTGTTGACTCGTTGTGCTATCAAAACTCTCTCAAGTGGTATCCCACCTATTTCCCTTTCGTTCTTGTCGCCATGGCAGCAATACTCTTGGTGATTGACAACATCTGGGTTATGTATCCAAAGACATCGTCCACCTTGAACCACTTTGTATCACTGACCATGGAGTGCTACAACTCTGTMGGAACCAACTCGGACATATTCCGTGTTCTTTCAAAGTCCAAAAAGGATGGTAAAGATGGAGAATCAGATGAAGATGATCAACTTGAAGATGGAGTTTCCTTTGATTTGTCTGAARCCATGAARGTGAAAACACTTTATGACAAAGTGGAACAGTTCAGAGACCGCTTTGATGAAAAGCACAGGTTGTTGATAATTGTTTATACAGTGCAAGCAGCRCTTGAGATGTTATTTTCACTTGGTTTTCTTGTTGTTGTGATTGTGTTTTTTGCACAGTTGGAAAAATCGTTTGAGTGTCGATTGGATGATAACGTGTTTAACACACCTTATCAATACTTTGTGTGCTCCAGGTTTATTGTACCATATTATGAAGCTGTGAGTTTGATATTTGGTGCTGCTATTGCCYTGTATTTCATGGCGTCAGCGTACACACTGTACTGGACTTTAAAGAACAGTTACAGGAAAAATATTTTCAAAGATGTAAATGTGGATGATAACATAAACATCAAAGGCGATTTAGCCTTTCTTTTCTCCCTTCTTGAGCAATATAACAAACTATATTGCGACAGGCTTGCTTTCTTTTTGTCTCAAGCCTGCAAACAATCMCTTATTGATGAGATTGCTGCAGATCGCAAAAGGCAAAAGACATTGCGAAGAGCAAAAAGTGAAAAAAGTAGAGCTGATGGCAAGTGAGTCGATGCAAGTCTTTTCCTGRCATGTTGGAGGTTAATCAATTTAAGACTTAAATACCATGCATTTGTTTTATTTTTGAATGAAAAGACAAAATTTCATTGCTGCAATAACTAATTAGAGTCTATGCATTGAATTGTAACCAGCTAAAACATATAACAATCAGGATGTTAATAATAAAGAATCATATTCATTATTGTTACTGTACAAATAATCACAATTAACACATTATTATGATACATTGACATATTARAGTTCAGCTGTTAAATTATTATAAGTATTGTAAGATAGAATAATGACAAAAAGCTTATAACSAGTAGATCTACTCATCTATTTATGTCATGTGTCATGTAAAACAATAATAAATAAAAAAGACATCAAAGCACACAGATATTTGTTTTGACTTTCTTCCTTTTATTAATTATAGCCAGCTAAGTAGGGAATTGAAAGAAATAATGATCATTGTGACTGTGCATTATCCCCGCATGGATTTTTGCATATGCGCAAAATGAAAAAAAAATTCAACTAAGTGCTTTACAATTTTGCAGACTGTGATAATAAATGTCAGAAATTATATGATTTACCTACCATTTTATTACGCCATTCAGATGGGTGGTCACCCTCTAGTTACCAGCGTGTCACGCTATTGAACAACTGTAGCGTGACAGTAGGCCGGAAATAATAGGGCGGAGCCCAAGGATGGGTGAATGAGTCGCAAGGAATTATGGGTAGAGTGTTGTGAAAAGGGCTCTGGTGTGCGTCCAGCTGCCTCGAAAGGGCATCGAAGGAAAGATAAACCTTGAAAAATATGAAGAAAGTCGTAAAGAGATTGGCGTTCTAAGCATCGAAAGGTAATATTGGGGCATAAAGCTTGGTTTTGAATCTCGTTTGAATCGTATTTCGCTTTCAACAACTGACAGATATTTGATATTTTGTTTGGAACTAAGTTACTGCTCGACAAATTGTCATGTCATCGATCGGTAGTGTTTTGGTTTTAGTCGTAATTTTATGTACCAATTCATTTTTGATCAAATAGTCATATTGATTCGGTGAATTCGCATGGGATTTGATCCCCTAAAAGTCCATCTTGGATCTTTGTTCATAACTGCAAATGTTTTTAATACACGATAAACAATAACGAGCTCTACATAGTTTTGTCAGTTTATGCTAGATTTTACCAAGTGCTCTGGTGTAGACTCTGTCATTCCTTTTGGTAATTTCTAGTGCTAATCTTAGTTTCTTGTTGTGGATTTTAGGGAATCATGATTGTTGTGGGTAATACACCTCAGCCAGATGCTGCTTTTAAGATTCTGACACCATGGTGGGATGTGCTTACAAGATATCTAACTGCTGGTATGCCGTGTTTTCTTAAAGACAAATAAAGATATTTAAACACTAGAGCACTAGCACCTGACCTTTTAAAGTGAAAATTACCCAACTCACTTCAGCAAGGCCAGATGACGTTGTCTGACTTGCAAATCAATGGCAGCAATGATCTGTACAAACCCACAGCTTCCCACTCTTTCCACTTACAGTCATACTCTTGAAGTTTATTCGAAACACTGACATAATCAAGCCTAGTAAATAATTTTATTTAAGAAGAGCCAAGTCATCTATTCAGGCTATAAATCCTCTCTACCAGGGCATATTTATTTGCTCAATGGAGTTTGGTATCATTATCGTCAAATCTGTACAAACAAATATTAGGTTTAACAGTATCATAATTATAGCTGTTCTAGTATAATGTGAGTGCTTTTTGTCTTCACAAGAAACTAAGTTATTTGTATATCAACAATTATACACTGCCTACACTCCGGTCGCTCTTGTATTTATCACTTCTAAATTATAAGTTAAGTAATAATAACATTTGTATATAAGTAATATTCTATGTTCTTCTTGTAGGCATAATGACCATTGCCYTAACAACTACAGCTCTACAAGCAACCAAAGACAACTTGGTTTGYTCACCAGCAGTGAAATGCTCTCTAAAGCAAAGTTTTGTGACCTCATCAGCTCCACACAAGGATRTATGCGATAAAATAAAATTCAGGCTCAAYAACCAGTCCAGCACAACAGTCATTACAACAATGGCAGATTTTCGTCAGTACAACTTCTTGGATGCCCTGTGTTTCCATGAAGGCGTCGAACAGCAGTGGTATCCTGTGTACTTCCCTTTYATTCTAGTTGCYGAGGCMTTGGTCCTTTTGTTGATTGACAATTTCTGGATAATGTATCCAAAAACATCATCAGCTCTGAACCATTTTATAACATTGACAATGGAGTGCTACAGCAGTGTTGGAACTCATTTGGATTTGTTYCAAGAGTTGTCRAAAGTGAAGAAATCTTTGGAAGAAAAGGCAGAGGAAAAGCCACCCGACCATGTAGAAGTTGAAATCAAAAATGGCGCTGAATCCATCTTGTTGAAGTCTGTAGAGACAGAGMATGCTGAACCAGGAGCAGAAGAGATAACAGAAGCGTCCTCTAAACCAGATGATGAAACAGCAGAGTTCCATTTTGACATATCTGATGCCATGAAGGTCAAAACTCTGTTTGAAAAAGTGGGAGAGTTTAGTGAGCGCTATGGCCACAACCACAAACTTCTCACCACTGTCTACAGAGTTCGTGCTGCTTTTCAAATTTTATTGTGTGCCTTTGTCTTGTTTTTTCATCTTACCAACTTTGTCTTGTTAAATGATGTAATGACGTGTAACCTCAGTAAGAAAGTGTTYGTAACAGATTATGAGTATTTTATGTGCGCTCGGTTCATTGCTCCCTATTATCGTGCAGTTACTTTGATTTTTGTGAGTGCAGCTCTAGTCTATCTGATAACTATAGCTTATGCTTTCATTTGGTCTGTCCGYAACACCAAGAGATGGGACGTGTTTGCTGACATTACCATTGCAAAYGACAAGGTTCACCTCGGGGGAGACCTTGCTTTTCTTTTCTCCCTTTTAGAGCAGTACAACAAGTTGTATTGTGACAGGTTGGCTGTTTTCCTGTCTGAAGGGTTGAAGGAAAAATTAGATAGAAAGATTGCAAAGGCATTGCGCAAGGCTGCATTGAAAAAGAAGGGTTCTGTAAAAAAGTAATTGACTTAATCAGCTAACACCTTGATATAAATGTTTCTACCCAATTCAAACCTCACAGGAGTAGATTTGTTCTTTGGTATTGTTATTCTGCAGCTGAATTCTAAGAGGATTTGAATTGTGTAGCAATGGACAAAGCAATGTGTTAGCCAATTAGTTTCAATGCTCCATCTACAAAAGACAGGTAGTAGAAGTACTTAGCAGTGCACTTACACATCACTTTGAAACATTTAAAATAATGGAATATCCAAGGAGCAAAAGTARAAAGAATTTTACAGATTGTAAATGATAACTATTTTCAATTATTTTTATTTCAATATCATTAGCATATTTAAAACTAAAGAAGGCATGCAAATCAATGTTATGTTTTAAATGTATAATGACATATAAAATGAGAAGTTGACTCAATAAAACTACATCCGGTCAAAGACTGGAGACTGTGTCAGATTTTATACTTGATGCCCTACCTTCCTCTTCACRCCCCCTCCCCCTCACACCAATAGACTAAGTCATCYTCCAAASWACTGATGAATATATTGAAACTTTGCACTGTGATAGAATACAGAGGGGGCACTAGAACTGTTAACAACTGTTAACACCCATGGGCGTATCCAGGCCAAAAAAGCGTGAAAATCATAGTTTGATATGACAACTATATGACTTCACAGTCACAAATTATTATGTAAGGACCACCTCAATGAAAATCCTGGATACGCCAATGCCCCTCCGAGGTTCCACCTTTTCATTTTACTTCACAATGATTTGCCGTTTCCGCCCGTTCCAATCTTCCTCGCCCATAGCCACGATGCTCATTATTRATTAACRGAGATGCTGGACAGTCGACGAGGTGTCTGCGAGTACAAGCTGCATAGAGGTAGGTTTGCGTGCCGTTCCACTGCTTTGTTGATCAGCTACTGTTACTTTATTTAGTATTTGAATTATCACCTTACCATTATTACATATACGCGTAATGAAAGKGAGGGKTTTGACAACATATTTTGGTCGTACTGCAAACAATACAAAACCTTGTTTTCTAGAGCATGAAAACATCAAAAGCGTGAAGACGTATTAGCCAAAAAAACAGTGCGCGCCTAGTGTTGAACGATTATTCAAGCACAGCACTGGTAGATAGTGTAGATTTACAAGCTGAAACAAACAGGATTCAAATAAGCAMTTTTTTCATGGTTTTACTGTTTAAACTCAACTATGCATTGTTCTTATAATYAAATTGAACAACTAAAAAGCTTTTTAAATGCGGAAACCCTTTTAAGAACCGGAAAATCTGATGAATATGAGCAATATTCAAACATATTTGAAATGATGTAAGCGTTACGTGACGAGCATTCCGGAAATCGTCTGCGCTTAGTGTGAACTCAGTGATGGAAAAGTCAAGAATGCGTGACAAGAATCCCAGGACACTCTAAACTGTAACACTATTCTTTCAGATTAATCTTTTTGAGCACAAATGGATACAAGCTCTTCGGCCGTCTCTTTCAAAGCTGAAAATGCTCTGAAGATACTTACGCCATGGTGGGATGTAGTTCTGAAGTACATAACATCAGCGATATTAACTATCGCACTTGGGACATTACCCATACAAGCAGCAAAAGATTCCCTGGCTTGCGTCGTCGTGGTTGAATGTCCAAACTCAACAWCAGGRACTGATGAGMGAATTTGCGAAATAAGCGATAAATCAGCKCTTTCAACTTACACGARCTTGGCATGTTTTGATTCGTTGAGCATCTCTGCTCAATTTTTTTACGTCATCCTGCTTGGCGAAGCTGTAGCTCTCCTTTTTGCCAATAACATATGGGCAGTGCTTAACCCCAAAACAGCATTGACTTTGAGTCACTTTATAAGCATTGTGTCAGAATGCTATGACTCAATTGGAACGCCAGAGCAAATATCCCRGCTGTTGGATCCWACTCGAGAAGAGGGGAAAATGGAACGTCATGCAGACGAAGGGCAGCCTACGAGAGAGATGGGACCTTTAGTGCAMTGTGGATCATCAACTGCAAGCGTCGAACGCGACCCTGAGCTCGACAATGATTCCAAATCAAGAATCAAAACTATCTACCACAAAGTTAAGAAATTCAGCGATGCGCAAATCCAAAAGAAATCTYTATTTTTTCTGTATCTTTTTCAACAATTTCTGCAATTGTTTTTCTCTWGCACGATTATTGCAATCAATATTGTGTTTTTCCGTTCTTTTGAGCAAGATTTTAAATGCACAATTGAAAATAATGAGTTTTTACCAATGAAGTATGACTATATTGCTTGCCATAGGTATATAGCGTCGTTGTATACTACAATATCTTGGGTTTTCATCAGCTTTGTAACTTTATACTTTTTGGTGGCAATTGCAGTTTGTGTTTTTATGCGAATGAGCGCAAACATTCCGGTGTTCACCAGATCAAATGATTTGGATTTTCTTTGCTTTTTGTTGAACCAATATAGTACTTTCCAATACGAAAGATTTGCGCTGTTTGACCGCAACGCCAAGTATCGTTTTACGAAAGCACGCGGCAGTTTCAATTCTGCATATAAGAGTTTCCCTGAAGTCGAAGGCTTTCAGAAGTTTACGTGATTTAAGAAATAAAAGACGAAATTCCGTGTTTGATACTCTGATCAAAACACGCGAGATGTAGGGAGAGCACGAGAGAAGCGTAGGAAACCACGACGCGTAGCAGAGTGGTTTCCAGCTTTTCGAGTGCTCTCCCTACATCCCAAGTGTTTTGATCAGAGAATCAAACACGGAATTTCGTCTTTTATTTCTTTTCTAAAATTAAAAGAATACGAAAATTGTAAAGAATTCTGACTTTTGATACGATATGTGGCTGTCGTCTATCTCTGCAAATCTCGAAGTAGCTTCTGCAGNAGTAAAGAGTGTTCAGTGTAACATTGAAATGTGATGTGTTGATTTTTGGATACCGATTTGTTTAAGTAAAGTTTCTAAACCCATTTACAAACACAGCAATCATATATTAATCAGTACGTAGAGCAGCGTTATAATTGACACGGGTTCTTTAAAGGAAAAACCGGTATGAAGTGCAGTGATGATGATGRTGATAATGATGATAATGATGATTGCAAATTACCTTATCTTTTATAGACTGAGAAAAACTAATGCCGATGATTTCAAATACATTTGAACTTTGAATTACACTCCAATTAGTTCTTGGTTTACCTCTTTACTTCGGGAGCTTTTTGATTGGTTTTACATAGGTCACTATCACCAGTAATCCGCACTGCATGTTTCAAGGTTTAGCCCTTTGCCACCTGTTCTTGGGGTTTCTTCGGCGCGAGCA